TGCACAGGTCGTGCTGTTGTTGGGGGGTGGGGAGGAGGACTGCTGTGTGCCTGCTTCCCACCACAGGGACCCCCATTTACCGGGGCTCGGCCACTTCTCTCCACAACACAGAGAGCACAGAGCTGGCCCCTCTCAAAATGGATGTTAGATTTTAGAGCTGCTCCTGAAGATGTGTTTGCAGGAAGAGCGTAATCCTCAACAGCCCTCTCTTTGTCACTGCCCTTACATTACATGTATGTGGGGGGAAAAAAAACATTTAATTGGTTCAAAGATTATATATATATTTTTAAGCAAATATATAGTAAATGGGGGGAGATTAATAAAGGGCTATTTCTCTCAGCTTGTGGTTTCTAATTACATCAGTTACAGCTTAGCCCTGCCCTTAACTAGAGTGCAGGCATGAACTGGAAAAGAATGAGCTAATCCGTGATAGATCGGGTTGAATAAAGATCTCCATTCATATCTTTACCTTTTATCCCTTGTTCCGAGTGCCAAGAATTAATGCTGTTTGAAAGTGCAAACTGAACCTGCCAAGCTTCGGACGGCTCCGATAATCCTAATTATTTTAGATGTGAGTGAGAAGGGCAGCAGTACCACTCTGGAAAAGAGTCCCGTTGTGAAACATTAAATATCTGCTAAGTGCTGTTGCTTGGACGTGATTTTATTTCCAAACACGACAGTTATCACGGAGCGGAAGAATTTGTTGTTTGAGAAATTTTCATTAGCTTTTCATCAGACTCTGAGGCCTGTGAACTCAGGAAACCAGAGGCCAGCACTTTTGTTTTCTTCCTGTCCACTTTGAGGTGTGGAGCTGCTAATAATTGAGGAATGCCACTTATATTCTTATTTTTAAATGGTTCCGTAGTGGGCGTCTAACAGCATTTAACATAGGAAGAAAGTTTTTCTCAAGCATGAATATCCTGTTTTCTCACAACCCTGGATGAGAATTATTCGTTCCAGCCCACTGACTTCCAACAGATCATTCAAGTTAAAAGTCAGGGGTCTTTGCAATGTTGAAAGATTTAGCAGTTAGAGTGGTTTTTGTTTGTTTTTTAGTGAGGTGGGGTTTTTTGGGGGTGTGTGCAGCAAGATGGTTGGTTAGATAGTATCACTAGAATCATCTTTAAAAATTTGTTTTCCCAGCACTGGTAAGAGTGATTATGTGTAAAGTTTTTTTGTTTGTTTTTAAATAATAGTAAAAGAAAGCCCCTTTAGCTTCTGTAGACAAATAGGCTACTTGAGAGAAAACAGATACTGGGCTTGCTGGTTCAACGGAGGGTGAGGTGTGGAGGAGCTTTGCCCACCTCTCATTGGAACACACAAAAAAATCAGATGGACAAGTTTTTCTGTTCTTACTTTTTCGTCTCTGCTTCGGTCTCCAGAAGTCATTTCTTCCATTTCCAAAAACGCCGGGAGCCTGTCCATGACCGAGGGGTAGCAGAATCTGGAATTGTTTATTGCCTGTGAATGCTTGCTGTGCGCCACCCCCAAGCCCAGCTGCCCCCAGCCCCACCCCCAGCACCAGAGCAAAGCATTAACATCTTCAGTGATGCAAATAGTCGTGTGTTGAGCATCTCTGGGCCAATTATTCTCTCTTTCTTTGGGCTTATTCCCCAGAGTGGAATTACCAGGTCAGAGGGTATGAACAGTTTTACCGTTCTTATTACATGTCACTGGATTGCTCTCTAGAAGGACTGAACCAATTTCTAGTGCTACCAACAGTGTACCTTTTCTTACAGTCCTACAGACGCAAGACATTAGCAGTTTCACAAAATAATTAAGAGGAACGTTTTGAGTTGAAGTTAGCCTTGTGTCAGGCTCTTTAGAATCAACTTGAAAGGCAGAAAGGATAATTCTGACTTTTGAATTTTTAATTGGTATAAAATGATCTACAGTGATCAATGATTACTCTTCCCCCCAACAAAATTTAATGAAGCTGCATTAAAATGGAGAGGGTCCCTTTGAGGATGGTAGTAAAATAGGTTTTGGACATTAGTCTCCAGGAAGACACTGAGGAAATCTTTACTGTAACTACTATTAGGAGGGGCCACACAAAGGCCAACAAACACCATCCCTAACTTCAGCAGCCCCCTTTGCGAAGACAACGCTAAGCCTTGAACAAAAGTAAAAACAGCGTAGATTTAAATTGAGTGTAGAGACACTGAAAACTACTGGCATTTTTCAAAACGGGCTGAGTTCATTTATTTGCATCTTCTCGGGAGTGCAGTCATGTGTGAAGGATGTGTGGAGCATCTCCCCCCACCGTCGGTGCAGGTGACACTGTGTGTGTCTCTGGAGTTGGAGTCACAGGAATACTTCCCAAGAAAACACCCACAAGGCAACTGAAGGCAAAAGGGGGCTATCCCCCATTTCTTCCTTTTGCAGAATTCCTGCTCCTCCCCCTTTGGGTCACAGATCAGTTAACTGGGGGTGGGAGGTGCATGGTTGGGGTGTAACAGGGAGGGGGTGTAACTAGGTCGGCTGCTAACTGAAGGCAGGAGGCAGGCTGGGGGCTCAGGCCATGTCGGGGAGCACGGACTCACTCCTTCCTAGCTGCTGCGTTAGTCTGACAAGGGTCAGTTGTTTTGCCTCCTTAAACTCAGAGACTAGGAAGGTTCCATGGCCAGTGACTAAATGTGGCGCCCAAGGGTGGGACAGCGCAGGGAGAGTGAAACCGCGGGTGGGGCTGGCCGGTGCCACACTGCCCTTCGGCTTCCACAGTGTCCCCTGTGTCACCCGGTGAGAATAATTCTTCCAGTGAATGGTTGGAGCACTACACACTTCGTTAAGGTATGTGGCATACAGGAAGTAGGCAGTAAATGCTCCCTCCTGTCCCCATGGCTCCTGACAGAGGACCTGCTCTCACTGGTTCGACCTTGGGTTGGGGTGGGGGGCAGATCAGCTCATGGACTCTGCAGCTGGCTCTTAGTTGGCTAGAGTACCAAGATGTCAGAGCAGAGTCGGCTGCCTTTGGAAAACATTTCTTTGTATATACAACATCTTGGGCATGCAGCCCCATTCATAAATCATCTTGGATTTGCAGGGAATTTTGCATCCATAGGACAATTCGAATTTAGCCTTTTATGAACTGCAATAAGATGAAGGCTTCAGATTTCATAGGTTCCCAGGTTTTTTTTTTTTGGTTGCCATTATGTACGCATGTGTACGCTTTTTTTTTTTAAGATTTTATTCATTTATTTGAGAGAGAGAATGAGATAGAGAGAGAGCATGAGACAGGGGAGGGTCAGAGGGAGAAGCAGACTCCCTGCCCAGCAGGGAGCCCGATCCGGGGACTCCAGGATCATGACCTGAGCTGAAGGCAGTCGCTCAACCAACTGAGCCACCCAGGCGCCCCTGTGTACGCTTTTTGGTGTCTGTAATGTACATTTAACAGCGTTCTACTTAAAAAATAAAAATAAAAAAAGCGTATACACTTTTACCCTTGCTTTTTAGTTAGGTTACTAAACAAATACTATCAATATCAAAGGTAATTGCTGGTCAGGAAATTGCCTAAATTGTTTCTCAGATTTACTAAGCTTTCAGATCATGCCTTTCCTTACTGGAGGTATTAGAGGTAGCCATACAAAACTCTCCGTCCTTCTGTCTGTCCGTCTGTATGTCACGTGAGAAGAAAGGGGCTTTCTGAAATAATTTGGTCCAGTGGCGTGGTTCAAGGTCTGCCTCTTAGATCCCAGCTCTGTTCTTTTAGTTCTCTGTGGTTCCACTAGCTGCAGCAAACCTTTTCCAAACCCATAACAAGTGCAAATAGTGTTCTCTTGTAAAAAGGTCCCTTTTCAGCATGGTAATATACCTTATTAAATCCGAAACATAATAAGTATTGATGGCAAACACATCAGGACCCGGTACAGCTCCTACTATGATTTAGTTCTCTACAAATGACTTCAGCACTCAGCTCCCGGTGCATTTGGCTAATTACATCATAGATGTCCCTATTGATGAACACAAGCTGAATTAACACAGGGCACTAATGTACCCTTTCACCATTATTGTTGTACAAGAAGCCGTGGCGGATGCTGGCAGTTAGTTACACAAACATTAGTATTAACGATTGGCCGTTTGGAA